ATTGTCCTTGTTGGTAATCAAGTGTTCAATTTTATGTAGTACATACATTGCTTTCAGAAGGAATTAGACTTATATAAGGTATACATTAAACAAAAGTATCTATTATGTCTCACAAAGGAATGGCATATTTCAGTATCATTACCCTACTTGCATTTGAATGATTTTTTTAAAACATGATATAAAAAATAGACATATCTAAAATTTTACACAAAATAGGCATTTTTGGACATTTTAATGAATGCCTATATGCAGGAATAGAAGTTGATAGAATTCTCTTTTACTAAAGTCACTGCAGGTAAGTGGGTTCGGTGTGATGTAGTACTTTGCAAACTTAGTAGGTGTAGGAACACTCCAAAGGCAAGAGAGCACATAAATTTGTCAGAAAATGAACAGCTTCTGGTGGAACTTAAAAAAACAAAGACTGAAATAATTTTGAAATATTACAATATAAATGATGATGAAAATATTCTCCTAGGAAATAATTTCAATAGTGAAATGTTTAAGTCAATAAGCTGTAACCAGAAGTGATGTCCTTGAGCAAGAGGGCTCCTACTTTTTTGGCTCACTAACAAAGGAAAACCCTCCATACTATTTGCTATAACTTGCAATTGGATAAAATGGGGCTTTCAGTAGGAAAAAAAATACTTTCGATAATAATGAGATCACACTGCAGTAGATAAATGGGATAAAATGATTAGTACAAGCATTATGCCTTGAAACACTAGGAAAGCGTTACTGAAGCATACTAGAGCCGAGATCTAAAATTATCAATCTGATTTATGGTCATATGATCTTAGACTCAATATATTCCATATTCAAAACAATGAGCGTATTGAGGTATTTGGACAGTTATTGGGGTTTAGATAACTTCATTTTCCTTTTCTGAAATTTGAGGAATTCTGGGAAGCAAATACTACTAAATAAGCTTCCAAGATAACCAATTTAAGCTGCTTTTCATAGCATAATATCTGTACTGATTTCAAGAATCAATTGATAAAACATTTTAACTGTAAATCAAGATTTCAAACAGTCGACTAATACTTGGAATAAACATTGTAAATGGTAGAAAGTTTCATGCCTTATTGATGGGTACTGCACACTGGAGGAAGAAATGGCTTGTTTATATAAGCTACATCTAATTGTCACAACTCTAGGGTAAATATGAACTCTGCTCTTTAGACACCAAAGCTCAGAAAGGTTAACCTGATTAAAGTCACACAGTTAATAAATGGAGAGGGTGACTGAAAAATCAGATGTGTCCTAAAACCATGTTTCTATTGTGCCACACAGTTTTCGCTACAAACGCAGAGCATGAGTGGATCTAATAATCCAAATAGGGTCAGATTTGCCTGAGGATCAGTGATTTCAGAGTCAAAGGATGAAGCCTGGTAGAGAATTCTGGTTGATGTAGTATTCTGGCAGTGATTCTTAGAAGTGTGGTTTCTAGAGCAGCAGATTCAGCATCACCTGGGAATTTTTTAGAAATGCTAAATTGTGGTCAGTTTGGAGGTCATCTGTCTTAACAAATTCTCCAGGTGATTCTGATACAAGCCAAGGTTTGAAAATCATAGATCTAAAGCAATAAGCTTCTTTGTATTTCCCTAGAAGATAAACTGTTTACCCTTAAATTTATAGAACCTTCTAAAAATTAGTTTCCAAGACATTTAAAGAAGTCCCCTATGAATAGGTACTTAAATTGTTGGGTGAAAGGATACTTTAGTAGTACCATCTCATATCCCAAACTGCTCTAGAGGATTTTTTTTTTTTTTTTTCTCAAGTTGTATTCCTACCAGAACAGAATTTAATGGAGACAGTGCAAAGAGATGTGGGGATCAGTCATATTCCAATTCTAGCATTATAGTGTTACGGTTGTGAAGAGCTGTATATTCCACTGATACATAATTTTGCTAAATTTCTCTTCATGTTATGGCTCCTATACGCTGTCTTTGGCTCCCGCCATATTTAAAACCCCACCTACTCTCATCATGCTATTTTAGTCCATGTATTTTTCACTACTGTCCCCTTTACTGGTTGTTCACCTTTCTCCCCATCTCATCTCATTCTTTGATTTAATCCTTCCTAAGCATCACCACTTTGTCAGAAAGCCAGATCTCTTGATTTTCCCAGCATTCCTCCTCTCAATAAATGGCAACTAGTTGCCCAAAGCAAAACCTTGTAATCGTCCCTGACTGTATCATGCCTTTCACTCTAATTCAAGCCACGATTTTCTCTAACTTGCACTATTATAGTTGTCTCCTAACTGGGTTCCCTGCTTCTACTCTTACCCTCCCTTCAATCTTCACACCAGCAACCAAAGCAATCCCTGTTCTGAGACAAGTCAGATATGTTATTCCTGTTTAAAACACGCCAGTACCTTCAGAGCTCATTCATTTATTCAACAAATACATTCATTGGATGCCTGCCACGTGCTGGCCTCTGTAACACGCAGTGAAAAGCAAAAATCCTTGCCTTATAGAGCTCATACTCTATTGGGGGACAAAAAACATACAGTATGAGTGCTATAAAGAAAAAGTGCATAGGAAATGCATAAGTAAGCATGATGTCGGTGGTGATTTTAAGCAAGATGATGAGGTAAGGCCTCTCTGATAAGGTGACTTTTGAGCAGGAACTTGAATAAAGTATGGGTAAGAGCCATTCAGATATCCAAGGGAAGAATATGCCAGGAGCAACAGTAAATGCTTTGGGGCAAGAACATGTATGGCAAGTTGAAGGAACAAATGATAAGGGAACCACTGACTAGTCTGGAGAGATTGACAATAAGGAAGTCAGAGATAAAAAAGCCCCAAGTCCATATAATGCTTTAGAATATTCTAGACCTAGACTATCCAAGACAGTAGTTACTAGCCATGTATGGCTATTAAAATTTAGATTCAAATAAAACTTGAAATTCAGATCCTACATTGCACTAAACACATTTTAAGAACCTTAAGAGCCACATATGGCTGATGGTGGTTGTACTGGACAGCAAAAAGAACATTTTCATCATCTCGAAAAGCAACTTGACAGGTTTTAAATCAGTGGCTCTTAGTTGTGGGTGATTTTGCCTTGCAGGGGACATGTAACAATGTCTGGAGGTAATTTTGGTTGCCACAGTGCGGGAAGGAGGTGCTACTGGCACCTAGTGAGTAGAGGATGGGGATGTGCTAAACATCCTACAATGCACAGGAGAATCCCCTCAACAAAAGATTATCCTGCCCAAAAATGTCAATAGTTCTATGATGAAGAAACCTTGCTTTAGATCAGTCTTAACTGCAACTCTAACCACATTGCTCATTGCCTCCTCCTTGCTCAAACAGCTCCAGTCTCCTGGACTCCTTCCTCAAAATCTCTACTGTTGCTTCTTCCTAACATGCTTCTCCTGCGGTTCATTCACTTCCTTTTATCTTCGACGTCCCATAAAGCAGCTTTCTTTTCAACCTGTATGAAATACTAACATCCTCTCCCATCCCCGTCTTCTGGATTTATTTTTCTCCATAGCATCTCCTGGCCGAGTATATAGTTTCTTATATGTTTATTGTGTATTTCCTTCTACCAAAATGCAAGCATTGTTTTTTGTCCCCGGAACAAAGAACAATAACTGGCAAGTAGGTGCTCAATAATAAATTTTTTTAATGAACGAATGAAAGAAGTTAGACATGCCCTCTACATGGTCCCACACCAACATATTTTAGCACTTGTAATCTCCTTACTAATAACACTCCCAAAAGCTCTTTGAAGAAAGGTCTGGGTCATGTTTCTGAACCTTCAATACCTAACAATGTAGGCATTCATTAACAATTTAAACAATGAAGAATTGCTACACGTTGAGTAAATGGTACCCCAAATAACATCTACTGACAATTTAACCATATTTTGAATGCCTTGTTTTAAAGACTATATGTACACTATATGACTGATAATTGGCTATTATTTATTTATTTATTTTTGGGACAGGGTCTCACTGTCACCCAGGTTGGGGTGCAGTGAGTGGCGAGATCTCGGCTCATCGCAATCTTTGCCTCCCGAGTTCAAGCGATTCTCCTGCCTCTCAGCCTCCAAGTAGCTGGGATCACAGGCGTCCACCACTATGCCAGGCTAATTTTTTGTAATTTTAGTCGAGTCGGGGTTTCTTCATATTGGCCAGGCTGGTCTCGAACTCCTGGCCTCTTGTGATCCGCCCGCCGCGGCCTCCCGAAGTGCTGGGATTACAGGCGTGAGCCACCGCGCCCGGCCAAGCCATGATATTTTAAAGTTAAATTTGCTCACCAGGAGCTGCAGACCTGTACACTTCAGCTACTAAATGGCAATACCCTAATTAAATGTCAACTGAGCAAAAATGGGACTTAAAAATAGAAAGAGAAAAAGGCAAGTGACAATGTACTTAATCTAATTCCAGTTGAGCAGGGCATGACTATTTCTCTTGTAAATGGGTGCTGCTACCATGCCAATAGTAAAAATAGCTCTTACTAGCCCCACGCACTGGTCACCCTGCCCCCACAACACCAAGAGGTAGGCATCTCTACTAGATCCACTTCGGCAGAAAACTCAAGGGGAAAAGGCTAAGGAGCTTGCTTACAGTCACAGTAAACGGCGGAGTAAAACCCTGGCAATCTGGCGTCCAGAAGCCCCAAGCTTAAGTTGCGCGCGACATCGCCCCTCCTAAGGCCGAGCCGGCAACAAGGGGAATGGAGGCAAGAGAGAGTCCCGGCGTGTTTGAGAGGAAAGTCCGCGGGAAGGCGGGCAGGCACAGTGGATTATCTCTTTTTAATTTTTCATACTATAATGTTAAACAAAACTAAATTATTTTAATTTACGTAATTTAAGGAATCAAACTACCGGCTCACCCAACTCAGAAGTGGCCGCAGAAGACATTCAAGCGCTCCCGGGGGCCCGGCCCGCGGGCGGGGAGGAGCCGCCTCCATTGGCCGGCCCCGCGGCATCACGGGAGCTCGCCGTGCGCCCGGGTGGCTGGCCGCTTTCCACGCACCTGCACCTGCGCAGCACTCCCGGACGCTGTTTTGGAGGAGAGACTTCTCTTACGGTAATCGGCTCCCTTGCGGAATGCCTACGTACTCCATGTAAACCCGTGCCTCACTTCCCTTCATTGAGATACGCGGGACTTCGCTCCGTCCCCAGCCCGGAACCACTAGTGGGAGCACTTCGTATCTTGATTGACCTCTTTGGCGATTACTTCCGCCCAGGGGCCTGGAATACTCGAGGCCCTTGGACGGCGAACTGCGGGAAAGGCACTTCCGGTGTCTGTTGCCTAGGCGCGGGCCCGGTGGGCCGTAGGGGCGACGTGGTTGCCGTCGTCCTGCTCCCCCGTCCCGGGGGTCGAGATGTCGCGACTCAGCTCTCCAGAGATGGAGGGCTGCCGTAAACTCCTTGGCCTGCTGGACAACGACGAGATCATGGCCCTGTGCGACACCGTCACCAACCGCCTGGTGCAGCCTGAGAACCGCCAAGGTAAGAGCAGGCCCTTCACGTAGAAGGCGGCCGCCCCTCCCCAGGCCTCACGGCGTCCCCAGGTCGCTGGAGCGTGGGAGTGGAGAGGGTTCGAGGCCCAGCACCCACTTAGTCCCCGACCCCGCTAAGGCAGAATCCTCGGGAATCCGGGAATCCTGGCCGCCGTCGCTGCAGATCCACAGCTCTGAAACCACGACGCAGACCTGGGCAGCCGGGTCAAGGGAGGGAGGTGGCGGCGGCGACCGTGGCGCGGCTTCCAGGTTTTATCCATTTCAATAATATGGGCAGCGCCTGTTGATTCGAGGATTCAAAGTAAGTCAGTAGTAATTTAAAAAAACTTTCTGGGGAGCCAGAATGTTTTGCATTTTCAGTTTCGATCTGCTGAAGGGAGTCAGCTGATTTCCCCTTCAGGTTTGAGGGGGAAGAGGATGGCAAACATTTCGTATCAGTCCCTGGTAAAAAGCAACTACTGTAATAAAAAAGGCAGATACCTAGATACCTTGGATCCGTGTCTTCTTTTGGAGCCGAAATTTCTCTGAGATGATTTTCGTACTAGGAATACATACAAGCGAGCTGAATACATACTCCTATGGATTTTTAAGGGTTATTAGTATTAAGCCTGATTGGGACTAGTCCGTATAAAAATATAAAGCGTTTGTTCACTTTGTGTATCGGTAGCTAGTTTTAAAGTTGCTGAATTTTACTTCAAAACGTGAAAAATTCCAGATTCCCATTTTAATATATGATTATTTTAAAAAGATTCTGCCCTTTTAAAACTGGATTTTTCTGCCTAAGTCAGATTTCATTTTTGGCATTGAAGAAAGCCATTTGTCACTTTGAACCATGGACACTAAAAGAGGAAATTCCAAAGAATTAAGACAGAAATAGTTTTAGACTTATATGGCTCTTCAGCATTTATTTTACATGGCTTTCACCATTTTACAATCATGGTGAGTGTGAATTTATAATGGATAACATGCTGCGCTTAGTTGATAGTGGATCTAAAAGCAAATAAGAAAAAATAAATGACATGAAGAAATATTTCTTAGGGGGGAAAAAACACGCATATGAAAATATATTCAGCGTCATTGGAAACTAATGAAATGAAAACCGGAAACAGAAGTTGTCTTTTCTATGTACCAGATTAGCAAAAAAAGAAAAAAAGATATATATATATATACACACACACACACCCCCACCCACCCCACCCCCAAACTATAACTTCAGGTGTTCATGATCGGCTGAAACAATTTGTTGACAAATAGTGGAGTGTAAATTAAAACTACCACTTTGAAAAACAAATTTCCCATCTCCTAAAATGGCAGATTAGACACATACTTGAGACCTAGTCTTCTGAAACCTGAATGTGCTTTTGAATCTCTCAGGAATCTTGTTAAAATGTAGGTTTTGATTCATTAATTTTAGGGTAGGCCCAGAAATTCTGTTTCTAACAAGCTCCAGGATGATGCTCTGCTGCTTGCCCCTTTGTGCACTGCCAGATACGTATGAGAATGTTCAAAGTAACAGCATTTGTAATTGGACACACAGAATAGAAGTCTGTAAACAGAATAGTTAGATGTCTTGTATACAGTCATATAACTGATTACGATATAGGAGTCAAAATGAGTTAGCTATGTGTTAGATTAATCCAGAAAATATTAATTGAAAAGCTGATTACAGAAAACTATACTGTATATGGATGGATTGAATTTATGGCATAATTGTAAATATACCAAACTAAATATAGTTCAGGGATACATACTTATGCTGTACAACTGTAAAAAAAGGGGAATCCTAAAGCAAAATTTAGGTTAGTAGCTACTCTGAGGTGGATGAGAAGAAAGCAATAGCATTCGGGAGGGACAAATTGGGGACCTAAAAGATAGTAGTAATTTCTTATGTCCTAAGCCAGCGGGTATGCATATGGGAGTTCGCTTTATTGCCATTCTGTGTAACTCACATATGTCTAAATTATTCTTTGGTCTGTGTTTAATATAAATTTTTAAAAATACAAGTCAGTCGGGCGTGGTGGCTCATGCCTGTAATCCTAGCACTTTGGGAGTCCAAGGCGGGCAGATCATCTGAGAACAGGAGTTCAAGACCAGCCTGGCCAGCATGGTGAAACCTCGTCTCTACTAAAAATACAAAAATTAGCTGGGTGTGGTGGTGCACACCTGTAACCCCAGCTACTTGAGAGGCTGAGGCAGCATAATCACTTGAACCTGGGAGATGTCAGGGTTGCAGTCAGCCAAGATCACGCCACTGTACTCTAGCTTGGGTAATAAGTGAGACTCCATCTCAGAAGAATAAAAATAAACAAATAAAATATAAGTCCTGGTTCTGCCACTTTCTAGAAATACAATAATTGATACCTAATATGGCCTCAACTTTCATTATCAGTAGAGTGAGGAGATGGGACTAAAATTCCTTGACATCTAAAATGTTGTAATTTTCCCTATTTTTAAAGGTTGCATATGAATTTAGGACTGTTGGCCTTATTAGAAAAAAAAAAAATTTCTGGCTTGAATGTGTTCTTAAAATGCAATCCTCAAAGAGAAAATACTAGAATTTCACTGTCATTTATCAGAAGTGAAAAGAAGAGATTTAAGGTAAGGAAAGTTTAAGGCATGAAGACATTAAAATTTAAAAACTGACAATGGACTTCCTACTTCTTAAAAATGATGGCTATCATGCAACAGCAATAATGCTGTGACAAGAGTTTGTAAATATTATTTGATAGAGTTTCTACTGACCTGGCACAAATTTGTAAGTGCCTCATGATTTTTTATTAATCTTGAAATTTCTTTCTAGATGCTGTTCATGCAATATTAGTATACAGTCAAAGTGCAGAAGAACTTCTGAGGCGTAGAAAAGTCCACCGAGACATCATATTTAAGTACTTGGCAACACAGGGGATTATTATACCTCCAGCTACTGAAAAACACAATCTTATTCAGCATGCAAAAGATTACTGGCAAAAGCAGTCACAACTGAAATTGAAGGAAATACCAGAGCCAGTTACAAAGACAGAGAACATGCAATTCTTTCGACAGGTAAAATAGATCTTATGGTTATATTCTGAACCTCTGTTCTGTCTGAAACTTTGTAGATAAGCATAGATCTTGGGGAACGTGGTTGATAATGTTTGTTGGGTTTTTAAAATTTTTATTATTTAAGAGATTCTCACTCTATTGCCCAGGCTGGAGTGCAATAGTGTAATCATCGCTCACTGCAGCCTTGAACTTCTGGGCTCAAGTGATTCTTCCACCTGTGCCTCCTGAGTAGCTAGGGCTACAGGCATATACCACCATGCCTGGCTAACTTTTAAAATTTTTTTGTAGGGATAGGGTCTTATATGTTGCCTAGGCTGGTCTCAAACTCCTGCCCTCAAGTGATCCTCCCACCTCAGCCTCCCAAAGTGCTGGAATTACAGGCATGAGCCACCATGCCCGGCCTATTTTTTTTATATTTTATAATTTTAATTTTATTTCATATTCTATCCTGAAGAAAGAGACCAGTAGAGCAACTAAAGGAAAAAGTATTTCTGACATAGTGTTGCGTATATAATCATCTATTAATATGTGAGGGGAAAAGTATTTTTCAATATCAATCAGTATCATCAAATGAGGACTAATGGATTTTTAAAGATTAAACCGCACAGTTAATTTAACTCTAGTTCTTCTCTAGTTCTGTGTAATCTTTTTACTTTAGAAGAATTCTAATGCCAATTCTTTCTTTTAAGACTTTTTGGTATTGCAAAAATGTCATGAAAGGAACCTAATTTTTTTTTT